TATTTTTTTTTCTGTCTGTTTGGTGTCCGTTTTTAGTCCAGTTCCAAATTGCCAACGTTGTCATCTCTGTCTCTGTCTTGCCTCTCGTTGTGCCTCTCGCTCATGCTCTAATAAGAAGAAATAATCCAACTGAATCTGGGAAGACAAGTTTTTTGAGAGCTTGCAAAGCTCTGAGCTTTGCTTTGACTCGCTTTGCCGCTCACTCCACTTAACAGACACGAGATTGGCTTCTCGCTCACTCGTTCACTTCTCTCTGTCAGTAGCTTTGGCTTGGTTACGATTTAAGCCTTCTAGCTATTTTTTTATGAATCGGGTTTTATTTTAATTTTATTTTTATATTTGGGTGTTGTTGCTGATTAGCATTCACATCTACCTAGCTGTGCCTATGTATGTGTGTAAGTGGCAGAAGATCTCGAGGGGCCGATCGATTGGCCAGCATTACGAAACAACAACACATTCAAAAATAATAGTAGTTCGCTGTTCTTATATTAACTTTATTTAACTTTTAGCTTTCAAGAAAAAAACCACTTAATTGGGAAACAAACAAGTCCATAAGCTTCGAACCAGTTGTCAACGTAATTAGTCTGCATTGACGCAAATATAGCAAATACATTTATTATCATTTGAAAAACATTTTGGGCATTCAATTTATTTCGTACACTCTTAGGCAAACTGTTTAAGTATTGTTTTGAATATGAATCTCTCAATTTAGCGCTACCATATCGGATTACTGTTAATTTAGGTAACTGCTAATCATATAAATATTCTCATTCATATATAGATCTATTTATAGACAGAAGTAAGGGTATTTATAGATCAACTTGCAGACTACAAAATTGTAAAAGAAAAACAGAATATTCGGAATATGTTAAACATAAAAACTGAAATATTAAATATTTGTTTAACTGGCTTTTCAGAAAGACATTAGCTAAAATAATTTATATTACTTTAAAAACAGGTTTTCATAAATCAAAAATAGATTTTTAGTCGTTTTTAATTACAATAAAAACAAGCACCTTACGACAATAAAAAAAATAAATAAATATATTTATTTGGAGCTGGGTTGTGCTCTCTATGCCTTGTTCTCTTTTTGCGCTCTTGCTCTCTTTTAAGTGGCAAGCACGGCTGCTCTTAAGTTCTCGGTACTTTTTTTTAAATCAATAGATAAGAATGCCCATTTGAAGACCTCTCATGTACGCATTTCTTATCTAATCAAAATAAATTAAAACTAAATTTTATGCCCATTCACGGTCAATGTTTTTCAATTTGATTATGATTATCATTATCTTTATCACATTTATAGAAATATAAATTTAGTTTTTTTTTATCAGTGGCTATCAGAGAGAAAGCAGGAAAAACGCATTTCCGTTGTACTTTTGTAAAAAGAAAAAAGAAGCAAAAAAAAACATTATGCAATGACCATCGCTTTGTTGCTTAAATCGGTCATTGAACGTTTGTTCGACGAGTTCGAGAACGAGGCATTTGTTTTGTTTTTGGTGTTTTATTTTATTTTGTTGCCCAGTAAGATCTGCCATATTTCGTTGGCTAGCGGGGGCAAATTGTGAGTCCGTTTGGGCCACAGTTCATTGTACGCGTTTGCTTTGTGCTTATATTTTCGTTTCCCTCTCACCCTATCAAAAAGACCGCCACGAAGTCAGTTCTCTAATAGGGATTATGCGATAAAAGTAAGCTGTTTTAATTACTTTGGCCTTGAGATTTGCTGTTCTTTCTGAAGCATTCTTAAGCAAATGCTTATTGTTTAAGTAAATGAATATTGTTGAATTTCGCAGACTTAAACCATATTGGTTAAAAATTGAAAAATCTCAAGAAATACACCTTACTCTTAAAGGGGACTTACCGCAGACCAATAACGAAGAATAATAATTTAAAGCCTTTCGATGTTGATATTTGCTATTATAATACATACATACATAAATAAAGCAAACTTCGTAACCCCTTTATGGGAATCACATTTATAGAGCTGTGCCTCCTATTTAGATTTATGATTCATCAGTAGTTACTAATAATGAATTGACCAATAATTATAAAATGTCACACAACTGTATTACGAAAGCTTGTACTCTGTACAATCCATAAAGTCGAGGTTAGCGAGAGATTAGTAAGTATGCGATACTTGACAGTTTTTTTCTTTCAGCTCTTTTTACAAAAGATGTAAAAGCATATTCCATAAATAACCAATAATTTGAAAAAGATAAAGAATCAGCACAAAGCAGTTGATTATAGAGTAACTAACAAACGATCACGACTGGCCGAATTTTGAAATGTTTTAGTTGCCATATCTATGTACATAAGGAATGAGACTTATCGATAATTTTGCGACACTCATCACCAGGAACCGTTTAACGGCTTTCTCAATATGAAAAGAACGAAATACGTATTTTCACATAATTGTGTGATGCTTGCTCAGTGAGTCACATTTTCATTACAATGCTGTTGTTGCTATTTCTAGGCTAAAAATAGCAAGCGTTGAATAAACGAAATTCAAAATATTGCCATAACATACATACATACATATATAGACATATGGATTGATAAATGTATTTGTGAGTGTGTGTGTCTGGTATGTTGCCTACTGTCGGATTTGTTGTTGCTATCGAAAATGCACCGTATACGAAGTGCTCATGTTGACAATTTGGGATTCCCGTGTGGCCAATTACCGATGCAGAGATATAGAGACAGTGAGTGAGAGAGAGAGTGAAGCGTCGCGTCGCGTTGCGTCGGCTGCTACTTATCATTGTTGCGACAATTGATTATTCATTTTACACCCAAACATATGTACATACACACACATGTTTGGACAACTATGTACTTATGTGAAGCGCGAGAGACTTGCACTGCACAGCGCCCTCTTTTTATCGTGTAAAACCATTTTATTTTTTGTCGCACTACTCGATTTTTGAACATCTGTTCGCAGTTGGTCACAGTCTTTGTTGCTGTGCAACATTTATAATGTGTAAGTTTTATATGGCTTGCACGTATTTGAGTACCCCTTATATTTGCATATGTTTGTGCGTATATACATTTGCATGTGTGTGTGTGTGTGTGTGTGTGAGTGAGTGAGTGAGTGAGTGCATGCCTTTCAGAGTTGCATGCGTTTAGTAAATTTGTTCAAATGCGATTTGTTGAGTTTGTCTATTTATCGATTTAACTGAATTTCGATCAGCTTGGCGAAGGTGGCAACGCCGCCGGTACATAGATAGCGCCGACTATTGCTAGTGTTATTTTCTCTCCCTTTTTCGCATTTGACATTGTTATCAATGGTTCGTTGTTTTTGTTGTTGCCATAAACCAGCGCAACACAAAGCAAAAACTGTCTGCACAGCTGTCAGCTGCTCGGGTGCGTCGTGTCTATGTATATGTGCGCGTTTGTGAGAGCGTGTGCACTAGCATTGACGTACAAATGTATTCTAGTTTTTTTTATTTAGTGAAACGTGTGAGATTTTTCCTACCGCCCTTTTTCTCGAGCATTCCGTTGCACACGTTCTCACGTTTTTCATAGGTTTCCCCCATATACTACATATAATTCTTTTTGGTGGTTGTTGCTCCTGTTCTGCTTACGAAGCCTGCGGCCAGCTGTTGGCTGCGTGAAGTCGTCCTCAACACACAAACACAAAGGCACTCACACACCCAGACTTAGGCACAGGCACATTGCGTCTCCTCTGTTGGCTGTCTCGTGTCGTTGTCGTCACGCGCAGTGCATTGGCCTTTCGCTCGCCAGGCAGGGCTCTCAATGCTATTTAAGCGGCGTTCCTCCTCCGAACAACGTTTTAACAAATGGCCGTCGCAACGTCGTCGCCCGCTTCAAACTCGAAATTGTATTATTGTTGTTGTTTCTTCATTTTAAGTTTTGTGGGTTTTTTATTCGGCTAATTTGTTTAACGTTGACTGCAAATTTGTTGTTATTGGAACTGAGGAACACACACATACACACACACAGTCGCAGTCAAACCAGGGGCAACATTATTAATTTTGTTTGTATAAATGAACTTCAAATTGTTGCCTTGGCTGAAAACTTTTATTAGTGAGTGTGCCCGTTCTGCTTTTATGGGTTTTGAAAAAATTTTGTGAATTGGCTGGCTGGGCATTAAATTCATCCTGTTCAACTCGACTAACACACACAAACATTGACATACACACGTATTATCCAATGATCGACAAGACGAATATAAGCGAAACAGAGACAAACATAGTTTACCTGAATTATATGACTTTGTTTTGCTGACACTTTGACAGCTGCGGTGAACCTGCCTGCCAGATTCGCTTCCTGACTGAATGTAAAAGGTCCTCAAAGAGAGTATCAGGTGTATGCTCTCATTATTATTCACAGTGAATATTTGTACGGTGTAACATACATCTCCATGCACATATATTAATTTATTTATATATATATATAAAGTGTGGTATAGCTGAAATTCCTAGCACAAAAACAAATAAGAGATAAGCCCACCACACGGGCCAACTACAAGCAAAAATCAGGCACAACGAGACGCGAACAAACGAGCACACGACTAAATTACTACCACGACTAACAAACACCGACATATACACAGACATACATGTCTACACATGTACATTCAATCATACACAAGCGCATCGGCTAAGATCTCTGCCTACGGTAAATCTACCTGAAAGCGGAAAATTTTCGTATGCAAAAATGTCAAAAGTGAACAAAATTAACAACACGCAGAAAAAATGACAATCGGGTGCTCTTCTGCTCGCTCTGTGCGTAAAGAGAGAGAGGAGCCGCTTAAGAGAATTTCTTGTCACGTAATGGTGTGCAACGTAAACATAAAACAGCTGTGGTACGCGTAACGAAAACGTATGATCGCGTGCGCGTAACGTACACTAATACTAGTGAACAAACGCTAACAATTATAAATCGATAACTATTTCTAACGGAAGGAAGCGAAAATCCATCTATGTATTAAAAAAGAGAACAGTGAGAATTGTTAACATAATTTATTTTCTATTAAAATGTAGAGTGAAACCTAAAGCAAATGCATAGTTTTAAATAAAAGCAACAAATCAGAAATTGAGAAAAGCACAACTAAACAACCAACCAGCAACAACTATAAAATCTACTCATCAAATATTTATCAAGCTGCAGCGCCAACAGGCAACAACTAAGTATGTAATAATACTTGTATAATATAAAAGTGATTATCACTTAAACTGGTCACTATTTTTATAGAACAACCATCGCGCCGTAGCATCAATATTAACAACAATAAAATCATCGTCCAATTGAAAAGCTATCAAAGAAACAAGAACAACCCACACATGCTATCGATTGCTCATCAAAGCGATATATACGCACAGTTTACAACACTGTTCGGCTGAACAGCGAGAGCACAGCTGATTGTGCCTAGCTGGCTGTTGTGTTTTTGGTTGTGAGCGGGGCGGCAGTGAAAGGTTTTCTGCGCTCGCAGTAGCCGAGAAGTAACAGTTTAACAAGAACAAAAACATCAACAACTACACTGTATGTGACGTGGTGGAAGCATAAGCAACGGCGACAGCACACACAACTACTGCGCGCAGGTGGCTGTTAAGAACAGCTGTTTCAACACATCAACACGATAAAAAGCCACTGAAATCTACAAAGCACTGTTGACTATTAAATGTAAATACATACATACAAACATACCTATATTGTAAGTACATGAATACTTGCGTCTTGTGGTTTATTACAATTTGTTTAAATATTTTGTTTTCATATTGTTGTGACGCGTGCCCCTACGCCTGTAGCTTTTCCAACAGTGGGTGAGATAAATACACACACGTATATATTCAACCGTAACAACCAACAACAAGAACCAAGTAAGCCAAAGTTTTTAAGTTTTTGCTCAGACGTGCAACGAGCCGCAAGCTTTTTAAGATAGACATACCCACACAAACACAAGTATTTTTATAAAGAAAAAAAAATTTATATATATATTATATATATATATATATACATATGAGAAAAGATAAGCGAATGCTTTTCAACAAAAACATAGACTACGCATTGCGCTCTCTAAGAGTTAGATTAAAAGAGAGAGACAAAGAGCAAAGAGCGCAGAGCGCAAGCCAATGCGAATAACGGACTGGCCAACGGCCAGCGGCAGAGTGCCAAGTGCGCACATTAAATTGCAAACTTGTTTTCAGTTTTGCTCTGCGCTTCACTTCCATAATAACTATATTACACCAACAACAACAACAACAACAACGAATGATTGTCAGCAATAGCAGTAGTAGTAGTAGTAGCAGCAGCAGCAGCAGCAGCAGCAGCAGCAGCAAGTGATACAAGGCACGTACGTATTTCAAACGAAACATCGAGATGTTGTTTGGTCGCTGATTTTCAAGACTGAACAGCGTGAGCGAGCAAGCAAGCGTGCGAGAGTAAAACGAAAGAGCGCCAAAGTGAGCGCGTACACAGAAGTGCATGTATGCGTGCATGTGTGTGAGAGACACGACAACGACTACTGCTGTTGATCTACTCCGTCGCGTCACACTCGTCGACGTCGCTGTCTTAGCATTGTCCACGGGGCGGTGGTGAGCGGTGTAATAATAAACGAGTGCACAGCAGCAGCAGCAAAACAGCAACGGCAACGGCAACCACTTGAAAGCAACTCGTTTCGATTTCATTTAGCAGATACCTTTTGTACGTTGATTAAGATACCTTGAACACACAGACACGAGCAAAATTAATGTGAAAAAGGAAATAAACTGCAATTTTATAATACACATAATTGCAAACAACACAAAAAACACAATGCGTGAATAATACAATAAATTATTGAATTCCAGTGTGCCAGCAAATGGGTTGGAAAAAGTAACGAAGCAAATTCCTCAGTAAAAATGTCTTGAGTAAAAGTGTTGGCGTAAAAACCCAAAATACATGCATATATGTATATACAAGTGTATACTCACGCACACAAGAGTAAATGAAAAACAACAACAACAACGCCAACAACAAAATAAGTGGTAAAAAGGCATTAAATATTTAACATTATTTCGAGTGAACTCTGTGCCTACAATTTTCGACACAGATAGTGCCAGTGTGTGTGTGCGAAGAAAGAGATATTCACACATATGTATATGCAACTAATATAGAAGTGGACAAAAAATATAATAAGCAGCAGAAAAAATATATATAAAAATCAACGTACAAACACAGATGATTTTTAGCAAAAAAATAAAAAAGCGAAAAGAAAAAAGATCAAGCAGCAGCAACAACAACAACAGTGAGTGCCAATCAAATCAGCAGTTGTCCCGCTTCAACACGTTGTGATCGACGAGAGCAAGAGAGCAAAGCCAACAAACCAGCGAGCGCGTACACACAACCAAAAGCAGTCAAGCGACGTGTGTCCATATTGGTGTATATGTGTGTGCGTGTACGTATGTATGCGAACAGCATTGATTGCTCGCTCTGCTGTCTTTGATTTTGCTTGTGGCTGCCGCCGCCTGACTTTTGAGCGACTCACACACACTCGACTCACACATTGACAAGCTGAGCACCTGGCACAGGAGTCATACTTTCAACTCAAGCGAGCAAAAGTTACAACAGCCATTCGAACGCTTCGCACACCAACATGTCAAATCAGCAGCAGCAACAATAGCAACAACAAGAGCAAAGCATACATGCCTACCTTAACCCAATTAAAATACACACCATATTATTTAACAAAAGAAATTGTGTTATTTGCAAGTAGCACACAAAGAGAGCAGCAACAACGTGGAGTGCAAATATGAACCAGACTTGACAAAAGTGAAGAGGCAGAGAGAGAGAGAGAAGAGAGAAAGAGCGAGTAAGAAATGAGACCTATGTATACGGAAGTGAAATTCTCAAGCAACAACAAAATTATTAAGAGTTGTGAATGTATTTGTGTTCGTGCCTGCATTTCAAATCCAAAATTAAAAGAAAAGAAACGCAACGACAACGGCATCAACAGCAACAGCCAGTTTGCAGCACAGCTCACAAATCTCAAGAGAGCGAGCTTAGGTGCATACGCATACATGTACATGTAGTTAGTTGTACTTGTATTAATGTGTGAGTGTGTGGTGGTTTTTTTTGTGTGTAAAGCTTGCATTTACCTCGGTTCACGTCTTAGCAACAACGTAAATTTTACTTACGATTACAACATACTAAACAACAAAACATTATTAAATTGTACAGAAACTAAAACAGCAATTAATTGCCATCGGGCCCAAGGCTTGTTCTACGTCACATTTGAGAGCAGGAGTGGTGCCAGCAGCAGGAGAGACGCATTCAACATTATTCTGAAACATCTCTAATTAAAGTGCATTCAACAACAATTACAAACACAACAACTTCCAGTTAAAGTTACTTCCATAAGCTTCTTCCCTTTAAAAATAATTTATTGTTGTGCAACACTGGCGCGCCAGCCAAAAAAAAATCAAATTTTTGCCATTCGCCACGCAACGTCACAACGACAAAGCAGCCAACTTAACTAACAAAAGTACGAGCGTAGTTAAAGAAATTAGACAAAATTAGCCTTAACATTGTGATCCACATCCATCATCAAGAAGAAAATTTGTGTGGGGGGCGGACACGTTATGAGCAATTCGATTGCATCGACAAAATGCCTGCCCAATGTCTCGTTCTCGTCCGGCAATTATGGTATGTCACAAAGCCACCGTTATACCGATGATACAAAGGAGTATATATACCTCAAGCTTACCGACTCTGCCTTCCGTGCCATCGAGGAATATCAAAGAAATGAGAATGCCAAACGATTGGCGCCCGGCCAATGTGCCAAAATTCAATGCAATGGCAACACTGGCTTCATCCACTTTCCGCTGCCCAGCAGCGATAGCAATTCTGTTAATAACGGCAGCGGGAGCGGGATGGAAGCAGGACGCAAATTTGGCTTTACCATTGACGATCTGGAGGGCACATTGGAGTGCATACAGCAGCAGCGGCAGGAGCTCGATGTCCTTGGTGCATTGGCGCGACGCATGCGCATTCATGCCAACGATGATGTCTACGATACAACGCGCTCCAAAATGGCTCGAGTTGAGGAGACGGAGAAGAGCAAATGTATTCGGGAGATCAAGCCAAATCAATCGGATATTGGGCGTAAGGTGAAGAAGCCGGCCTCGGCATCGTCACATCACAGTGGGAACAACAACAACAACAGCAACAGCAGTAGCAGCAATAGTTTTAACAGTAACAATAGTCGTAAGTTAGTTTCATCGCCATTTAATGGTCTGACGTCATCATCAGTTGCAACAGCAGCGACAGCCGTAGCAGCAGCATCAGCAGCCACATCAATCGCCTCACGCTCGCCCAATCCCAATATTTTGGGTGCCAGCGGCACAGTCAATGGCAGTCGCAGCACAGCCCTGGCCAACACATTCGCCAATGGTATCTCCCAGGGTTATGCGCTCAGCGGTAGCTCGCCCAGAGACAACAATAGCACAACAACAGCAACAGTTGCGGGGACAGCAGCAGCTGGGTCTTTTAGCAGCAACAGTAGCAATGGACGCAATAAAATGCTCAACGGCAGCGGCAGCAACTCGCGTAGTGGCAACGCCAAATCGGGTGGTGCGAGCGGCAATGGTGGCAGTGGCGGCAGCGGCAACAAAATGTCCGATGTATCGCGACGTAGTATACGTGAGCGATTAATACATTTGCTGGCATTGAAACCGTTTAAGAAGCCGGAGCTTTATGCGCGACTTAAGCACGAGGGTATTAAGGATCGGGAGCGCAATTTAATTGGCAATATACTCACGGATATAAGCACCATGTCTCACAATACCTACAACTTGCGGCGACAGATGTGGAACGATGTCGATGAGAACTGGTCGTTCTTTAGCGAACAGGAACTGCAGCAATTGAAGCGTCGCAAGCCACAGAATCTGACGCCCCCAATGAGCTCCGATGCAGGCAGTTCGACCTCCGGCCAAAGTCCAACGTCCACCCATACAGGCAGCCCGCCGCCCTTGCTGAGTATGCCCACAAATGTGGGACAGCAATTGGCTAACCACAGCGGTGGACCAAGTGGCATCATCGGTGGCAATAGCTTAAAGCGGAGCAGCATTGAGTATGATGAAATGTTTAGTACAGTGCATCCGAAAAAGCAGCGCATCAGTCACTACACCAGGGAGACAGGACCACAATTTACATCGTCCTCATCCTCCGCTGGCTGCCCCTCTGGCAACTCTGGTTCATCGTATCGCAATCGCACTGCTGCGTATACGCCACCGCAGAGACAGCAGCCACAGCTGGATGATCACAGCAGCAGCGACTTAACATACAGTGTGCTGGACGAGTTTAGAGGCATGACAGCAGCAGCTGTTGTTGAACAGCAACAGCAACAGCAACAACAGCAGCAACAGCAACGAAGCAGTAGTAGCAACAGCAACAGTCGACGCGGTAGCGGCAGTTCAACTAAGCAAAGCAACAGTGGCAGCAGCAGCACTGACAAGCGCAACTCAACGGGCAGCAACTCGAGCAGCTCGAGTGGCTATGAGACGCAACAGGAGCGCAACAGTCGTCAGTCGTCGACAACGCAACAGGCTTCGCACAGTCGAAAATCGTCAACGACGCCGCCCAAATTGACTGCTAGTTTTGTGCGTCAATCGGTGCCGACAACAGGAACACAGCAACACCAACAGCAACAGCAACAGCAGCAGCAACAGCAACGCAGCAGCTTCAATAGCAGCAGCAACAACAATGCGCACGATGAGTACAATTCATATAACAACAACACGCATGCAGCGTCCAACAGCAAAAAGCGTACGAGTAACAGTAACAGCAACGGGCAACGTCAACGGAGCAGCAATAGTAGTAGTAGTAGCAACATTTATGCGCAGCAGCAACAACAACAGTTGCCAGCGCCTGTGCAGCCGCAACAGCAGCAGCAACACCATCATCACCAGCAACAACAGCAGCAGCAGCAACAACAGCAGCAGCAGCAGCAACATCATCAGCAGCAGCAGCAGCATCAGCCTTATCAAAATAATCGCGAATCGGGAGCAGGTGGTGGTAACAATCATGGAACCACTGCGAAACATCCATCGCCCACACAGCAACTAGCAGCGGCTGCGCATGCGTACGCAGCGGCAACAGCAGACGCTGATGCGAATGCCGCGCCCCGTTACGACTTCAGCCAATATGCGCCCATACGCACGCTGGAGGTGCGCAGACGCTACAAGACTGAATTTGAGAGCGACTATGATGAATACCGCAAACTGTTGACCAGCGTGGAGGATGTGCGCAATCGCTTCCAGGATCTATCCAAGCGCTTAGAAGGCGCACGACGACGTGGTGGTGGTGATTACGATCAAATCAAGCGTCAGATTGTCAGCGAATACGAGCGCATCAATAGCGATCGCAACATCCACAAGGATAAGCTCAGATTTGACTACTTGCACGCGAAATTGGCGCACATCAAGCAGCTGGTAATGGATTATGACAAGACTTTGATGAGCGCATCGGCAGCAACGTCAGCAATGCCAGAGGCAGCAGCAGCAGCAACAACTGCATCTGAAGTGCAAGCAGCGGCCGCAGCAGCTACTGCGCGATTAGCGGAAAGCAGCAACATGCAACAGCAACAGCAACATCAACAATTTCATCAACAGCAGCAGCAGCAGCAGCAGCAGCAGCATCGGCAACAGCAACATCATGCAGTGGAAACGATACAGCAACAACATTACATCAACAACAACAACAACAACAATGGCAACCACGAGAGCGATTCAGATGATAGTTCTGGTAGCTCAGATTCCAATGATGATGATGATGATGATTGCGATGATTCCAACTCCAATTCTGACGATGACGAACGCTACTGATTAAATGAATAATCCAACCACAATAATAACCATCGGCAACAACACAAAGCTACTTCTTGATAAAACGATACAAAACAACAACAAAAACACCAGCGGCTGTAATTGCAGTTGCAAACAATGTAAAAAGGCAAAAAAAGAAACTATTATAAATAAATATATTATATATAAATATATATAGTACATATACATATATACTATATATGTGTATGTATATGTATATATATATATTTATAAATACACCTAATGTAGTAAAAAGCAACTCCAACAACAAAAGAAAAATGTACTAAGAAGAAAGTAAAAAAAAAAACAAAACCAACAAAAAAATGTTAAAGTTATGTTAACAATTAAACACAAAACAAACGAAAAGAAAAAACAACTATTTGCAAAAAAAGGGCGTAAAAAGCAAAGGAAAAACGCATATATTTTATGAAGAATAAATCCATTTTTTGATAAATAATATTGAAAAAATGTAACCCGTTTTATATTTGTTTTTTCTTTTTAACGTTTTGTGTGTAATAATAATTTAAATATTATTTCAAGCAACTTTTTAAATATATACTTTTATATATATATATAGAGAGAGAGCGTATATTTCTTCATTTTAAAACACTAGAAACCTTTTTATTTTTTAAACTGTTTTCCTTTTTATGTTTACAAATAACCATTTGTTATAAACACACACATATACACACACAATGGCTTCATTATTATTATTGTTCTTTCTTTGATGCATAACTCGATATGTATTTGAGCATATAATTTCCTACTATCCATAAACTCATGCCCTCTGATATACCAGGAACAGCAGAAACAACAATAACATGATTAATGCTTGCACAGTGTGACAAGAACAGTTTGTTTTTGGATGGCACCTGTGCAACTGGCAATACATATTATGACACACACACTTAGACACTCACACACACATTTATATATATTTTTCTTGTGGTGTTGCATGCGGGCGTGCCTCTTTAACAATAGACTGAACTTTTAAACGGCTTGTTAATTTTTCTTAATTGTAGCAGCTTGTGTAGAAAATATTCATTTAATTTTTAATGTTTTTTTCTTCTGTATAACTAGTTAATTTTTTGTTATATAATACATATTTTTGTGTTTCCAAAAAAAAAAAAACCAGAAGAAATTCACGAAATATGTCATTTTTGTTTTGCGTACATTTTTATGGCGCTAATTTGTATTTTTTTTCTTTTGCTAACTCGAAACGTTTCAAAGCTATTTAAACAATTATTTATTTTTTCGTTTGCCTTTAGACAAATTTTTGCTCAAAAAAATGAAGAAAAAAACAAAGAAAAGTTAATACAAAATTGACTAAGCAAATGAGTTATAGACATGATTGTGCGGTTGTATTCAGAGCTATGTGGCCACAAAGTAAAAATGGAAGAAATAAAAAAAAAATGATACAAAGAAGCTGTTTCTAGTTTTAGTAAACAACTTAAAAAGCACTTTACAGACGCTTCCTTAAAATATTTATGTATAGGGAAACAAAATATCAAGTCAAATATTTTGCTTGAGAAATTATTAAAAATAATTTGCTGAAACACTCTAGCGTGTCCAAAAACAAAACGAAACACAAAGAACATTTAAGAAACAAAACAAATTTAATCGGAAGATGCAAACACACAAAAATTGTAAGTAAAGCAAAAGAAATGAAAGGAAACAACCGACAAATTTTTTTGTTAGCTATTTCGTTGCAATATTTTTTATATACCATATTTAAGAAGTAGGAAAAGGATGAATAAATAAAGGAGACAACAAAACAAACGAAACGAAAAGGGAAAATCAAATGAAACAATGAGATCAAGTTGCAAAAATCATGCGTTTAAAATCGATTTGTAGCAATTACAAAATAACAAAAATGAAAATCATATATACAATTTATATACAAACAAATAAAAAACAAACAAAACAAAAAACTATATATACCTATATACAACAATGACATTTGATAAGTGAAAGGATGAGAAGATTGGAGGAAACTTACTAGTTTTATATGCATAAATGCCACGCCCACACACCACACACAGAGCAGAAATTCACATACACACACACACACGCAAACACATATATAAACTAATCTACTGCAATTTCAAAAAACAAAACAAAAAAATACTTATTGATAAAAACAAACAAAAAATAAAGATTGTATAAGAGCCGCAAGGAGAAAAGGAGTAAACCAGATCAAGAGACATGAGAAAATTATTATTATTATTATTAAAATTATTATTATTGTAAGTTTAAGAGCAAAATCGCTGACAAAACCAGCAGAATTAAAAATCTTAAAAAAAATGAGATATTGTTATATACTAGTAATTCTTAAGGCGACAAACAAAACAACAAAAAAAAGAAAACAGAAAAAAAAACTTAACAAAAAAAGCAAAGAAAAATAGAGTCAAATAAAATATTGAATCGAAAAAAATCACCTTTATTTGTTTTTATGTCTTTATGTAGATTGCAATTAGTTGCGGATCTTCCTATCTATTTCTGCGCTTCTGATCTACTCTGTATTTGATTTATGTTTTTGAAGATTTTAATTTGAACAGTTTTTCGCTTGAACATGTACCACGGTAAAACGTGCGTGAGTGCTCGCACTCATGCGATAGGTTTACAAACGCAATCTCTAATCGATAACATATTTTACTTGTAATTTATAGAAGAGGAAGAAGCAGTTGAGGATAATGCTCAGGTAGCGGAGCTTTCCAACGATTCCGATGCCCCACTGAAGCCCAATGTGAGATCATTATCATTATTATTTACTTTTTTCTATTGAAAAGTTAACTAATGCCGTATTTTTGCTGTGCAGAATGACGAAGATGATGACTACGATCCGGAGGATAACCGCAAGAAGAAGAAGGGCAAGAAACGCAAGACCAGAAAAGGAGAGGAGAAGGGCCGCAAAAAGAAGAAGCGCAAAAAGAATGAGAGCGAGGAGGACAGCGACTTTGTGCAGCATGACGAAGAGGTGGAGTATCCCAGCACTTCATCGAAACGTGGACGCAAGCGCAAAGAGGAGAAGCAAGCCCAAAAGGAGAAGGAATCTTCATCTTCGGGTGAGTTGTAATGTTAAATACATATATATATATATACGTATTATATACATTAATCTACTATGTATTGTAGGCATGCCTTCTGTGGAAGACGTCTGCTCGGCGTTTAGTGTGTGTGACGTGGAAATCGAATACAGTGAGGAGGAGCTGCAGAGCCTGACCACATACAAGGCATTCATGCAGCATGTGCGGCCCATATTACAAAAAGAAAATCCGAAAATTGCTGCACCCAAGCTTATGATGCTTGTGGCTGCAAAGTGGCGTGAGTTCTGCGAGAGCAATCCGCATATACAGCAGGATCAGCAGCAGGGCGGACAGGCGCAGGCAGCGGCAGCGGCTCCAGAGGCTGATGAGCCGCGATCGTCCCGTTCATCGCGTAACGAGAAGCCGGACGACATTTACGAAGAGGAGGAGGACGAAGAGGAAGAGGAGGAGGAGAAGAAGCCACGACGTAAGCGCAGCGGGCGCAGCAGCAATAAAAAGGGACGTCGACCATCGGGCAAAGTGCCAACATTGAAGATCAAGTTTGGCAAGCGTAAACGTGACAGTTCCGACGAGGAACCCGATGCAAGTGGCGCCTCCGAGCGTGATTCCGACTTGGAGTTTGAGCGCATGCTGCAAAAATCTGACGACAGCGCCGATGAAAAGGAAAAAGAAAAGGATAAGGTTAAGCAACCGGTAGAGGCAGATGCCGCAGCTGCGGCTCAGGATGATGGCGCTCCAGTCGTGCGCAAGAAGGCCAAGACCAAGATTGGCAACAAGTTCAAGAAGAAAAACAAAATAAAGAAGACAAAGAACTTCCCAGAGGGCGAAGATGGCGAACATGAGCACCAGGATTACTGCGAGGTGTGCCAACAGGGCGGAGAGATCATTCTCTGCGACACCTGTCCTCGCGCCTACCACTTGGTCTGCCTGGAGCCGGAACTGGACGAGCCGCCAGAGGGCAAATGGTCGTGCCCCCACTGCGAGGCCGACGGCGGTGCTGCTGAGGAGGAGGACGACGATGAGCACCAGGAGTTTTGCCGTGTGTGCAAAGATGGCGGCGAGTTGCTCTGCTGCGACTCCTGCCCATCGGCTTATCATACGTTCTGTTTGAATCCGCCGCTGGACACCATACCCGACGGCGACTGGCGGTGTCCGCGTTGCAGCTGCCCTCCATTGGTCGGCAAGGCCGAGAAAATCATCACCTGGCGCTGGGCCGTGCAGCGCCGAGGCAGCAGTGAGGCATCCACCTCGAAGAGCGCCAAGCAGGGTAGTCGCGTACGCGAGTACTTCATCAAGTGGCACAACATGTCCTATTGGCACTGTGACTGGGTCTCCGAGGTGCAACTGGACGTCCATCATCCGCTGATGATACGCTCCTTCCAGCGCAAATACGACATGGAGGAGCCACCCAAATTTGAAGAATCACTGGACGAGGCCGATACTCGCTTCAAGCGCATACAGCGCCACAAGGACAAGGTAGGCATGAAGGGCAATGACGACGATGATGAGGCCGCACTCGAGGAGCGATTTTACAAGAATGGCGTCAAGCCCGAATGGCTGATTGTGCAGCGCGTCATCAATCATCGCACGGCACGCGACGGCAGCACCATGTATCTGGTGAAGTGGCGTGAGCTGCCCTACGACAAGTCCACCTGGGAGGAGGAGGGCGATGATATACCCGGCCTACGACAGGCTATCGATTACTATCAGGACTTGCGTGCCGTGTGCACTTCGGAACAGTCGCGCGGCTCCAGCAGCAAGAAGAATAAAAAGGGACGTAAGACTAAGCACAAGCTGGAGCTTGATGATGAGGATCGTCCCGTCAAGCATTATACACCGCCGCCCGAGAAGCCAACAACAGATTTGAAGAAGAAATACGAGGGTCAGCCGGCGTTCCTTGAGGATACGGGCATGCAGCTGCATCCCTATCAGATTGAGGGCATCAACTGGTTGCGCTA